GATCCAGGAAATTTTGCTATAACTAGTGACAATTTATATGTAAAGTTATAGTTTCATAATAGTAAATATTGGACAACTTTTTTCTTAATTTATTTCTCATTCCTCATTAAGTGTTCAGTAATTGACACCGTTAATATTTTTATATTAATCATTTAACTGCAAGATGTTTAAATCTATAAGTAGAAAATTTTACTAGAAATAATTCCATGTTGCCTAGGCCATAAACTCGAAACCTTATTCTACCGAGAACTTGCTACGGCAAGTTTGGTAGGCGCAACCTATTAATAGGTACAGCGAATGTTAAACATCATAATGTCACTTTCAATTATTGTATATAATCCTTGAATTGGAATCTTTAATAGTTTTTGTTAATTTCGCAAGATATGTTTGTGACATGAATTTCTGCACACATTCTGATCTCGATGAATATTACGTATGAGAATACAATAATATCTAAGCGCCAAAAAGCTCGAAAATTACTCCAGCACAATTATTCAATCAGTTTCAATGATGCATTGATTGATAATGAGAGTAAACGAACGTTTAGGTATCATTGAGGTAACCAAATCACAAAATTTTAATTACAGGTATGTTGATAACTCAGACGACTGGTAAGAAGCTGATATTGTTTGAAAAGTACACGTACGTTAATAGCGGAAGGACAAACGGTGGAAGATTCAAATGGAAATGCACGTTCACCGACTGTGCGGCTCATCTACTGGTTTCCGCCAATCTGGACATTCTTAAGGCGATATATGATCATGAACATGACGCTCCTACGTATAGGAGGACTGCTAAAGGTCTTTATGATTTTGATCGCGTTTCCTAAGACGATTCTTGACTTTTATACTTTTATATACAACAGACCCTAAGGCCCACTTGCAGCAAATTTGCTAAATCTCGATTTAACTAAAATAATATTTAACCTATAGAAAATTTTCAAAACGTCAATGGCAATTTTACAACATTGTATGGGATGAATTTAGTTTTAGTTAAATTGAGATTTAGCAAAAAATTCTGTAAGTGGACCTTAATAAAATAAGTACCCGATTTCATTTAGAAGTCAACAGTTCACCATTTAGTTTATTTTTTCTTGGATAATATTTTGAGTTAGGACCACTAGCAGGAAATTTGCTGAATCTCCATTCAACTAAAACTAGATTTTACCCATAAAAAGTTAAATGTCAAAATGCTGTTAATTCAAAATTATGGTATGGGCTCAATCTAGTGTTAGTTAAATCAATATTTAACAAAACTGCTGCAAGTGGGCCTTAATGTAAGATTTTTTGACGAATATTTATTTAACATGCTGAGGTCTTGAAGTTGTTGAAAATAAGAATGAAATATTTTGTAAATTTAATTTGATTTGAACAGTTTAAAATTAAATCTTGACTTTAGTCTGTGGTTTTATTTCTATAATTAATTGTTTTAAGGAACCATAATATGCACAAGGCTTTCATTGCTTGGGGACTATATCTGCTATATAGTGTTTCTTTCAGAAAAACTAACACAATGCATGATGGTGACGGTACTAACACTTTAATGTTTCAGTGAATATATTCATGACATCAAGAGGTAAAGAGCGATTGATCTATCAGAACTTCACATATTACAAACAGAGCCGAACTAGGAGCGGCTTCAGATGGGGATGTACCAAAAACCGTTGGCATAGATGCAAAGCGTATCTCCATTTAGCGGACGATATGACGATCGTTAGAAGTAATATGAATCACACACATAGCGCCTTCAACAATACTGTGCTACTTCAATGAATGAAAAGAAATAGACGTTTACTTAAATCGTATATAAAAGAAGGCGAAGATTCATTCATATTGAGTCTAACTAAGGCATCATTTTTTAAACACAAAAGTAAAATTGTCACCACTTCTCTTTTTCATACTCCATAGAGAATGATAATGTTATTGTCAAATTTAGTTTTATGTTTAGAAAATCGTGGCAGAACTAGGCCCAGTATATAAACTTAAAGGTTTTAACTACGTATAGGCTTATGAATAAAATGTTGCTTACAAATACAAGACACTGAAAAAAGCACCTTACCATGGATCGTTTACAAAAGTTCAGGGAAACTTCCCTGGTTTATGCACTATTGATAAGCACCACCAATGATACAGATGATACTCTTGTGTATCGTAATAATAGCTAATTGCTTTTTTGTTTACCAAATCAACGCAAATCAAAAATTGAAATAGCCGTTAACAGCTCTTCGGAACGTCCTATAAATTGTGTCCTTTTATATGCAAAGCTTTTGAGAATATTCTACCCTGTTACAATAGATCAATGTTCATATTAAATTCCTTTACGTTTGATCATGTTTTTCTGAGAGGGATTGCAAAATGTGTGATTTTGTAATCCTACTGATATTGCAGTTATTCCTGGACGGCTTGGTAGTACAGTCAATCTGTCGAAAAAAATATCGTTTGAGTGAAAAAAAAACCTAAAGGGTAAGTCTTGTTTTTTCTGTTGCCAAATGACGTCAGTAAGCCACCTTGGCGATGGGCATGTTCAACTCGTAGGCGTTTTTTGAAAAACTCAAAAAAACCGTCAAAATTTTTTTGTAACGCATTTTTCTTGTTTTGTATGCATTTTAGAAACTTTTTTTTTGACCATAATTGTAGAGGGCGTTGAGTGCTACAATTTATGTCATTGTTGCAATCTCGTACAACAAAAAATGCTCATTGTAGGTGGCGCTAAAATCTCAAAAAAGTGTTTTTTCACTTTTTCACCCGGAAAATATCATTTTAATGGACAACTTTAAATGGCAAAGTTGTTTCGTACATAATTACCAACAACTTTTGTATAACCAATTTTTTTGTATTACTTACCGTTTTCAAGTTATAAATTGCGCAGGTATGAAAAATCCAATAGAGCGGTTTTGGGCAGTTCACGTACACATTTGCAGTGCACATTTCAATGTACGTTTTACTATTTTTTATTTTTTTTCATGATTTAAAAAAAAATAGTAAAAACGTACATTGAAATGTGCACTGCAACTGTGTACTTGAACTGCCCAAAACCGCTCTATTGGATTTTTCATACCTGCGCAATTTATAACTTGAAAACGGTAAGTAATACAAAAAAATTGGTTATACAAAAGTTGTTGGTAATTATGTACGTACATACTATAAACGTACGTACGTATAAACAACTTTGCCATTTAAAGTTTTCCATTAAAATGATATTTTCAGGGAGAAAAAGTGAAAAAACCCTTTTTTTGAGACTTTAGCGCCACCTACAATGCGTATTTTTTGTTGTACGAGATTGCAACAATGACATAAATTGTAGTACTCAACGCCCTCTACAATTATGGTAAAAAAAAAAGTTTCTAAAATGCATACAAAACAAGAAAAATGCGTTTCAAAAAATTTTTGACGTTTTTTTTGAGTTTTTCAAAAAACGCCTACGAGTTGAACATGCCCATCGCCAAGGTGGCTTACTGACGTCATTTGGCAACAGAAAAAACAAGACTTACCCTTTAGGATTTTTTTTCACCACTCAACCTACAGATTGACTGTACTATGGCTACGCCAGGTTAAGCTTTGCTGGACCATTTCCTAAATGAATTTTATCTAATGGATTCTTCCTAAAATCTTACTTTCATAGTTTTTAAGCGACAGAAATTTTATGATTTATTGACCAACATTTAGTGTTCTCTCATTGCGATAAACAAAAACACTTGGTAATTAGCAAACCATTAAATTGCACAGTGGCTAACGAATTTGATCTCAAAGTTTTTGGCAATAACATTGCTTAAATTTCTAGAACTTAATATAAAATAAGCCTTATTTTGGATATATACTCAGATGCTTTAGCGAAAATCAAAATTAAGATAATATGTTATTAAATATTTTAGAATTACCTCTGTATATCTATTACTGTTATCGATTTTTTTATATTATTGTTGATTTTGTTATTGTTTAATTCACAGTTTTAATAGTTGATATTAGTTTATTACTATCCCTTTACACATATGTATAAATCGAATAGCAAACCACCAATATGATTATTTTTGATCTCAAAATGCTGTGATTCTAATTTATTTATAATGTTTTTGGTGTCCAAAATATACACTTTGGAGAGAAGATTATATTTTTATTTACTTTTGAAGCCTTAAACCTGTAAACATGAAGTCGTCGTTTGCCCTAACATGAGTAGTTCTAAATTATCAGTTTTTTATCACGTGTGCCTATGATATTCCACAATACTTTAACAACAGGACGTGATAAAATTGTGATACATATCATATCGCGGTGTTTATGGTATCAGGGGCAGGATATACCTCTATGATATATTTAATATGATATAACCTGAAATCGTCAGATCTGGTAACAAACTGAAGAGCATTATCCCAGCAACCTACATTAGGTACTACTATTCAGATATTTAGGTAACCATCCGTTTATTGGGGATATTTGCTCGCAGTAAAACATAGCCTATGAGTTAATCCAGGATGTCAGCTAACTCCATGCCAAATTTTATTAAAATCGCTCCAGCCGTTTAGACGTGAGTGAGACAAACATACACACTCATACACTCACAAACTTTCGCCTTTATAATATTAGTGTGATTAGTGTGATTTAAACGTTTCAGGCCCACTCGCAATATACCATAGCCCATTCAAGAATATGAAATTGACGTTTTGATATTTTTCTATGGGTTAAATCTAGTTTTAGTTAAATCGTGATTTAGCAAATTTGCTGCAAGTGAGCCTTAATGTTTGTGTCTGATTTTGCCTTGTGTAACAAAAGGTAATCTTACAATTGGAGTTTATTCCAGTAAAACTTATTTTCCAGCAACCTATATAACCACTACTAACAGCAAAAAACTCCTGATGTTGAACGATTACACATTCTTCAAAAGCGGATCCATACGAGCCGGTGGTTCCAGATATAGCTGTTCCAGTTACCTAAGCAAGAAGTGCAAAGCTCACGTCCACGTAGACACGAACGATGTTATCATCAGGGCTGTAGTTGAACATAATCATGCACCTGTACGCTATACCAAAATTAAATCGGGACTGTACATCCGGCTATGAGGGCAGGAAATTCTTCAAAGAAATACCGCTCCATTTCAGAAATCGTAAAGGTGCGACCGTACTAATACAATGCGGCAAAAATGCACGGCAGCTTTGTATGCCTTTACTTATCGTCGATGATAATAACGATAGATCGACGGATACATGATATTTGAATTGAGAGTAAGAAAACTGTTACCAAAATTGCGTGTTTAATAAATTTTACAGTAATGTTAATTATTTTTTTGAATAAATATGAATACAAATTAATATAGAGTTAATTTACAATAATCTTTTAGTATAACAACATAATAAGGCACCTGTTAATAATACACTATTCTGAAGACAGACACCTATATTTTACTAAATGTGTAAACTTTAGTGGCTATTATCAAGAAAGCGACTAATTATCACGTAATTTTTCAGCTGAATTCATTGTGACTGATCGTGGGATAAAATTAATCCTTCTTAACGGTTACACCTTCTTTAAGAACAGTCACCTCCAAGACGGTGGCTCGAAGTATTCTTGCTCCAGTCAAACCAGCAAGAACTGCAAAGCTTACTTAGACGTAGACATAAACAATGCTATAATTGGTGATCCCAACCACAATCATTCTCCCACAAACTTCGATAAAATTGCATCCGGCTGTTACGTAAGATGTCCAGATATAAATTTTCAAAAATGTTTTATGTAATAGTGTCAATTAGGAAAGTACGCCATTTTTTGGTAACAAAAATTAGATTTCATTTATTTTTATATAGAATCTTATGTTGTAATAATCCTATTATTTCTGTAATCTGTGAAACATTCTTCAGCGAAATTAAAAAGCTTTCTTGAATTAAAGATTCAATTAGAAAAATAAGACTTAACATTCACTGATTATGTAAATAAAACAAGTTTCAATGGTAAAGATTCTCTGATTTATTTGTTTGAATTATTCGCAGCCTAAAAAGGATGCGAAACGTCAAAAACAAACAAATCAGTGCATCCATACCGTTGAAACTTGTTTTATTTATTTATTGGTGTGCGTGGAAACCTAAGAAACAAATATGATTATGTAAATCTAGTAATGAGATTTATTATATCACATTTTTAAAGTCTCAATAATAAATAAGGAAATTATTTTTCTTCCAATGGAATCCCTGTCCACTATTCGTAGGTTACAAATTACAAACCTTATGGAAACCATGTTATTATAAGCAAAATATGCGTTTCTTGTAATATTGTGGGCAATGTGTATGATTTTTCATAATTGGAGTCGATGATGATAATGACTATGATGATATTAGTGATAATGAGCCATAAATAAATATTTTGAATATATATTTTTTTTCAATGTAGCCATTTAAATTAGTTCATTGAATGCATAAAACAACACTATACATTACTTGATCTTGTTCTCTTTCATATTTTTTGTTATTTTATGTCCAAAAAATTCCATTCATTTAAATAACCCTTTTTATTACAACTTTTCAAAAAGAGCTAGTTTGTTTTCTGTTTACAGAGGCTAAAATAGCGTTTTAATCACTAAAGACTAAAAGCGATTTAAAATAGGATGTGGCTATTGTTAGTAAAAGTTCCGATTACCAAAGAGATCAATCACAAACATTTTATGAAAAGTCACAGCGTAAACCGCGCGCTCGCCATATAAAAAATCTGTTGGTGAAAAAATACAGACGCGCGAAATACATACTGCCTTCGTTTGTTCACAATATATTGTACGTTCAAATTTGGTTTTATGGATTAGTGTCTTCCTTGAGTAGCGAGAATGAAAGTGATATGCCAAAAATGTGATACAAAGTCTGTTACCTATAAAATTCAACCAAGGAACAATATATAAGAGCAAATTGTAAAAAATCCTCTTTTGGAACAATACAAGAATGGTGAAATATTTTTCAGACAATGTGGTATGACCTAATCCCAAGATATTCTTGTTGTTCTTGTGTGTGAATAAATCAATCTTACATCATCCGTTGCTGCAAGGATGAGAGGGTCCCAACAAAGGATAGACTAGGATTACAGTATTGACATACACCTTTATCTACGCTTGCAGTATTTAACTTAATAAAGACTATAATGTAGATACAACAGCTATTTTCTTTGATATGATCAAAGCATTTGACTTTGTTTTCCCATGACATTCTTCTTGATAAATGTGAAAGATATGGCTTGAGAGGAGTAGCTTTAAGTTGGCTAGAGTCTTATCTAGGAAATCGGCGTCAATATGTTGAAATTAAATAAATAAAGAGGAAATATCATTTAAATCCAACATAGCTGTGAATAATGTAGGTGTCCCACAAGGCACTATACTAGGAGCTTTGCTATTTATAATATACATCAATGATTTACCCAGTATTACCCTACACCAATGCAATTTATTCGCTGACGATATTTCTGTAGTTATAACGAATAAAACTGACCTAAACTATAATGATGAAATTAATATAACTATAAATATATTTATAGTATATATTTCTAATTGGCTCAAAAATAATAATTTAAATTTGAATATAAATAAAACTAAGTATATGACATTTTTAATAGAAAACGAAAATCCAATGATATAACTTTACGCATACCTACATGACAAGCCTATCATGGAATCAAATTCAATATTTTTTTAGGAATGGTGATTGATAACCAGTGTTCATGGAAGAATTACATAAAAAAAATCTGTAATAAGATAAATAGGTTTGCGTATGCATTGTGGCGGTTAAATCGACTTGTAAACCAAAACGCAGCTCTAATGGCTTATCACGGATATGTTGCATCCAATCTTAAATACAGTATACTTTTGTGAGGAAATTCTACGGACATTAATAGAGGTTTTATATCCCAAAAACAATGCATCCGAGCTATATGCGATGTCCCGCAAATGACATCATGCAGGCAACTATATCCCAAATTAAAATTACTTACACTTCCCTCTATTTATGTTTTCGAATGTTGTATATTTGTTAAGACACATCCTTATAATTTTAAATTTAAAAACACAAATACCTGCAGATTAGCGAGACATCGTGGTAGATTGAAGTTGCCCAATATGCGTACTCAGTATTACAATAAAAACTGCTATCCGAATTGTATAAAAATCTATAATAAGTTACCAGGCCTGATAACGGAGCTTAGTTTGCCTATATTTAAAAGGAAGCTTAAAATGTGGCTAATAACGAAATGTTTTTACTCAGTTAGAGAATATTTAGAAACGAAAATTGATTTAGAATAGAATAAGTAAAATGACATAAGCACCTTTAAATTTTAGAACTTAATTAAGTTTGACATTCGCATGCCCTGTCGTTGGCAAAATGGACGAACTAAATGAAAATCACCACCAAAATGTATCTACTCTGTTTTGTGTGAATAAATAAATTTCATTTCATTTCATTAATAAATAAATTTCATTTCATCTTGGTACTGCAATGGCCAAGTACAAAGGCGCCTCAGTAACTTCTCTTATCATGGAACTAGGTCCATACCAAAGAACACTCAGCAGCAGAATTATTAACAAGGATGAAACACATGCTGACAGCATTCCTAAAAAGCGGCCAAGGCCAGTCGTATCTCAGCTCCTAGTCGAAAGTCGCTTTGATGGAATTCGTCATCTTCCCCGCTTCCTGGATGACAAATTCGCATCCAAATGCAGGTACTCAGGATGCAAATGCCTTATAATGTGCACAAAATGCAATATGTACCTGTGCATATTAAAAATAATTGTTTTGAAAAATACTACTCGTCAAAATAGATGAATTTGAAACAGTTGTATGCCTGAGGTGTACATACGTGCATATATGTTTTTATATGATTAAAACATAAGCATAATTTTTAATTTGATATTTTTTTATTTTTCACATGTCCGCCCTTATCTAATATATACCACATTTCGATTTCCTACCTCATTTCTTTGACACCTGGGTATCAAGAGGATAAATAACTTATTAAAAGAACAAGACAAAAAAGGTTAATTATATCAAAAATTCCATCTGTCACAATTCCGCCAAATAAAAATCTAACAAGAGTAAATAAAACTAGTTTTTACGGGTTAATTCACGAAACTTTATTTATTTATTGACGTTTCGTAGCCTTTACAGGCTACGTCGTACCGTAAAAAACTAGTTTTATTTAATGAGTGATGTGCGTGAAAACCTAAGAAACAAATCTAACAAGAGTATGTATAATGAATACTAATTAATGAATAAATCTTCTTGCAGTTTGGATGTCGCATGTCAAATTTCCAAACCAGGGATCTCGAGGATTTTATCTTCCACCACCACCATCTGTGTCAATTAAATCGGAACACAATCGTAAGTTATTCATGTTATTTTTACAAAACTTCGTTAAAATTTGATTCATAGAAGTTGTTAGACTTCAGTAACTTGGATCACCTACGCCTATCTTTAATTGATCTAGGATAAAACAGAAGATTCTGAATTATCATATTATGCAACCTAGCATTGGAAATATCATTGTACCATAGATAAATGATTGGTCTCGCTTTCGCATTATATGTCTTCTTTACTTTGTTAAAAATTTACTATGCTTAAAATAAACAACTTTCACGCAAATTACTGAGAGCAATGTAATTTTTCTTAAAATCTGAGATTCAATCACACCATTGATGTTTTAAAGCAAAACTAATTATGGTTTAATTCATGATTTCAGTACGCTTCGCGAAGACAGCTAATGGGGGCACAATAATCGTTCTCAACGGATACACATTCAGCAAGAACGGTAATCTTAGAAAAGGCGGCGCCAGATTCGCATGCTCCAAGATGCTGAAGGAATGCAAGGCAGTCGTGCACGTGTCCCAAGAAGGAAACATCTTGAAAGCTGACACAGTGCACAATCATGAACGACCCCACTTCATTATCAACGACGATGGCGTCATTATCCGTTAAAATATTAAACGAAAATCCAATTCAGAGTTACCCTAAAAATGTATGATGTAACTTGACGAAAATACTGCTAGATAAAATGTAATATATTATGATTGATTTTAGTGAAAACCTAGTTTAGATGGGGCGAAAAATATTGCAATGCCTTAAATGTAAAGCGCAGCTATCTTTACTAACGGGCTATGTATTTGCGAATGGTGTATTAAAATTAAGTTACTTACTTAGATAGAACTGAGATAAGTATACTTATATCATTATGTGCTCTTATGAGAATTTGAACATGAAGCCTCAATACATTAAGTCTTAGATGCTTAAATGTTAATGAAATCAAAATTATAGTGTAAAAGATTACCTACTTGTTATGTTACCTCCTTCTGATGTATACATTGTATACGGTCTAAAACGCGTAAAAGTAGTTCTACTGAAACGCATCTTGACTTAAGAAATATATTTTACATTTTTAAATCCAATATAATCTTCTTATTTATATAAAAAAACATCATAATTATGTTTTTATTAATAGATATTTGAAATATTAAATGTCTGTTAACTTAGTATGTAAGTAAGAGATGTTTTATTATTTCTTATATTATGTCTAGCTTAAATTCATTGTAACGTTGTCATTTCAGCTTGGGCAATAGAAACGGCGCAGACTTTGAATATTGCAGTCACTTTCTCACCTGCTCTGCCACAGTCTCAAGCAATAAGTACGTTTCCCTTTTATATTTTTATATTTTAAATCAATTACTCACATCACATGTTGTTTTTTCCATTTCACCTTTTCCACAAAGCACATATAATTGTCTATTTAAAGATCAAAAACGCAAATGCAAATACGTAATTTATATTATTTTTAGTATAATGTACCTATGTGTGTTGTCACCGATATACACACATCAAAAGTGTCTAGGGATCAACATATATTTTTGCAATAACTTTTCTCCTGATTGATATTAATTAAAATTTTCTTTAAGGATTCATCAAATAAAGTGTTTTCGTTTGTCACAGTAACGATAAACCAAGTCACCTTTGCATTAATAAAGAAATTTGCCATTTTCCTAATAAAGGGATTTTTGACATTTGAACCACTAACACAAAAGTTCGAAAAAAAGACTGAAATAACAGTTTTCTCTAAAATTTTATTGGGTAACTTAAACAATTAATAATCCGTATTTCTACCGCGAACACTAACAACACAAGAACATCGGTTTGGCATACTCAAAATGAGTTCATCCAAATCACGCTGTGGAATGGCCGCCCATGTTCGTTGCAACAACAAAAAAAGGTCTTCTTGCGACTGGATCCACTCCATATTCGGCAGAGCTCTTCTCTGTAGCATATCCCATGCATGCTCAATCGGGTTCAAGTCTGGCGACTGAGCAGGCCAGGGCAGGACATTGATGTTAGCTGCGGCGAGAGTCTGTCTTACAACTCTTGCGGTGTGCGGTCGTGCATTATCATGCATTAACTGAAATAAGGGACCGATTTGCACTTGTAGAGGAACGATGACGTCTGATACAATCGTCTCAGCATAAATTTGAGCGTTGAGGTTGCCTCTGATCCAAATCAACTCAGTTCTTCCGCCGATCCAAATACCCGCCCATACCATGATGGTTCCACCACTATAAGGATGGACTTCCTGGCAGGATTTTAATCGCTGTTGGCGTCCAGGGGTTCTCCAGTGTCGTATACGTCTTGTATCCGGTCTCATACCAAAACGAGACTCATCAGAAAAGCACACGAAACGCCATTGTTCTTCTGCCCAATTTCTGTGTTCAAGAGCCCATTGATATCGAATCCTACGATTGTGCATTGCTATAGGTGGTACCCGTAGCGGTCTTCGGGAATGAAGGTTCACTTCATGCAAGCGGTTTCTGACTGTTTGGTCGCTAATTAAGTTCCCTGAAGAGTGATGAAGCCTCACGGCTAACATCATGGCGGTTATTGTTGGAGCTCTTCGAGTTAAGATTTGAATGTATCGGTCTTGTCTCCGTGTGGTGCAGCGATACCGTCCTCCATGGCGCTCAGCCACGGTACCAGTGCTTCGGTATCGTGTCCAAAGTCGACTGATAACACTCTGACTTGTATTCAGAGCTAAAGCCACAGTACGTTGCCGGGAACCAGCTTCTATCATTCCCACGGCTCTGAGCATTTCTTCCCTGCTTAAATGACGTCGCCGCTCCATAATAACGTTGGTTTTAATCAGTAGTAGGGAAACAGTAGCACTAATAATGTCTTCAATGCGTTGTATGTTTTTATAGGGAAAATATTGACAGCTGATTTTCATCTTTTACTCGAATTTGATTCACAGTTCCTGATTCAAATTATGAAATGCACCAAAAAGGATCCATATAAATTTATAAAATCATAAATTTATTACAAAGCCACATCTCAATCTCAAGAAATCCGCATAAAAATGCTTGATCCCTAGACACTTTTGATGTGTGTAGATATTGTTTATTCATGTTATTATCCAATTATTATTATTTTTTTACTTTCGCATATCGCCTTTTTAGTACTTCTTATTCTTCTTCTTCAGCCTATAGCCATCCAATGCTGAATGTGGGCCTCCTGCATCGCATGCCATCTAGCTAGACCTTTAAAGGCGCTGGCTGAAAAACAGCGCGCCTGTGGAATTGAGGGAGCACCTTTTTTTCTATAGATAGGTGCAACAAATGCCTCCATGTCACCTGATGTTAAGTGACGGTGAAGTCCAGACTCGAAAATCGCTGGTTCAGCAGTTCTACCAGCCACACCAGCCATCCTGACCCTGCCGGCCTGCATGTTGCTTCTTCACGCCTCTTTTAAAGGATCCCAGGTTGTAAGAGAGAGGGAACACGTAAGCGTGCAAAGCATTCCATTTACGTATAGTCCGTTTCGCCATATATGTGAAAAAAATTATAACGTAATCATTCTATATCGTTTTCTTAAGTTACTTACACCGAGTTTAATGTCCAATATTGGTACTTATCTTAGTACCTATTTTTTTTTTAAAGTTTAGTTTTAGTTTTTAAATTAATGCGAGCGTAATTAAGATAACGAATATTTTTTGCATGCAAGGAAGTGTAATACACTCTTCGATTTGAGTTGATTGATTATCGAATCGGATCGAAGAATACACTAACACAAATTTTCAAAAGATAAGTTCACTCTATGGTTTATTTTATTTTACTTAATAATACCTACTAGTGTTGCTCAGATTTGAAAGTCAAACTTTTACGTTCTTAAAAGTAATAACTACTATTATTTGAATTAGTTAAACGCACTAGCATATTGGAACTTTTACTGATTTAATAACTTGTCTACAGTTTGTCCAGTACAGTTAAGTCCTCAGACACTAGAAGTTACAACAGCGACTACGGCTAATCCACCTACGAGTGTGCCTCTCACAGCACTTGAAGGGCATGATGGTAAGTTTTGTGATATTTCCACTGCTTTTCTCGGATACATAAAGCTAAAAAAATCCTCAGACTTGGCAACTCAATTTGTTAAAATAGATCATATAGTATTGCATTTTCAAACCAAATCCTACCTGAATGTCATTATTAGCTTTATTACAAGAGAAATTATTAGAAAAAAAGTAAGGCTTAGTGGATTTAGAGGGGGCTATGCCGTAACATAGCGGATTCTCTGCTAGAAATGGAGTGCCCGTCTGGGGAAGTAACCTCACCTTACAGAAGACAGTAAAATAACACTATATTTTGAGGGTGTTGTGTTTCTGTCGATGAGTTTTGAAGAAGGGCTCGGGGTAGGGATAAGGGTTATGTCAAGGTAAGCGAGAGTGTTATTCTAAGTATCGCAAGCGTCTATAGTAAATAATAATAAATATGTCCAACACTCACACCAATTAGCCTAGCCCCAGAGTAAGCAACTGTAGGCTTGTGTTATGGGATACTTAGGGTAACTGATACATTTATATTTATATAGAAATACATATTGAAAACATCCATGACTGGGGTACAAATGCTCGTATTCATCACACAAACATCTGCCCCCCACCGGGATTCGAACCTGGGACTTCTCCAGTAGGCGACATCTTGAAACCCGGCGTATATACCACTCGGCCACGGAGGTAAATTTGTGATATCATGATGAAAATTTCAGTCCGCCTTGCGAAGACAGCAAGCGGAGGCACGATTTTGGTCTTAGATGGGTACACCTACAGCAAGAACGGCTTCATAAGGAAGGGCGGTACCAGGTTTGCCTGTTCCAAACTACTCAAGAAATGCAAAGCGTTCGTTCACGTATCTCATGATGGAAACATCCTTAAAGCAGAGACAACTCATAACCACGAACCGCCGAGCTTTATAATCAATGAAAATGGTGTTATTAGTAAGAACTAAAGGTGATCCAAACTCAATTGAAATGATAATGTGAAGAAGAATTTCAAATACCATACTATGCATTTAAATTTATCTGTGTTATAAACGGTTGTCCAAGAAGGTAGACCGTACCTGAACGGATCTAGTCAACGATATTTAAAAATCTCATCACCAACAATACTGATAATTATAAGTAAGTAAAAATGTTATGATAAGCTTTTTTCACGATCTTTACAAAGTTTGACTATTAGCCTCAAGAATTATTAATACGAATTTAAAAAAATCTAATGGATGTTGTCAACCAACTACTATTTCACTTTGTATTGATGTCAATTTTATGGTTATCTACTTAATAAAATAGTTATATGATAGCTCGGTTTTATAATACATGTTTGTCGAAATCGTACTACCTGTGATGACATACGGAGCCGAAAAGTGGACACTGGACGGTACGGCTGGTCCATAAGTTCAAAGTCGCTCA